ACCGCGTTCGGAGTGGCGGCTCGAAGCATTTATCTCCCCATAAGTTCAATCTGTTCTGAGGAGAAATGTGATCTGACCCAAACGACCTCCAGGCTCGGGTATTAGATTAGCCAGGGAGGCTGACGTTTCAGATAACCAAATCAAAGCTGGGCTAATGATGCCGAGAGGTGAGGGTCAGCCTGACCTTTGACCTCTGACCTCGATCACCGCTGCTGTGGACCCCTCAAAATGGTAAGAGAGGACAGAAATCCCTTCATACTCTGTTGTCCTGACCTTCCCTCCTCATAAACTCATAGAAATATTTTATAATAATAATGCAAGAACAGCTGCATAATGTATAAAACCACTCATTTAATTTTACTGAATGACTTTGACTGGGAGCAATCAGCAGGGCAAAACTGCCCAGCAGTGAAAGTGGTTCAGTGTGTGAGGAACGGAGGGTGTTGGGGCTGCATCCACCAACAACCTTTGACCTGCCTGGGGTCATCCCCTTCATCAAAATCCATGGGTGCGCTTATTTCTCAGTTAGTAGAGGCAGACTTCCCTCTAGTGTAGAAACAAATGACTGTTCCAGGTTACCCACCACTGAACGACAGTGCAAAACCAAGAGAGACACCCACAGGATCTCAACACACTTAGCTGTTGATGTAAAACTATCAAATCCATGTTTTTATATAATTATAAAATGGTATTTCAGAATTAACCCAAGATTACTGCAGGTGGGGCATTCTATATTTGTGCTTTATGACAAACTAATTAGCTTACTAGAATGACAGTATGTATCGAGGTTATAGTTAACTAAAACTAGATGTGAAAAAAAGCTTTACTTAACTAAAATAAAAATTTTTAGACTTGAAAAAATTAGAGCTGCAAAAAATAAAAAATAATAATAATAATGACAGCTTTCCTGATGAGGCACTAAAGTATGTGTTTTTTGAGACTACAAAATTTTGAGTCAGCTTTTAGCAGGTTATGTGGGGTTCTCTGTAATGATTTTCCTACATCTTGCTTCAGGGTCTGGAAACTAACAAGCTAAACTAAATTCATAACAAAAAGTCAAAAAGACACGTTTTGAAGGACGACCTCTGCGTAAAAGATTTGGCAGTGGGACTGAAGTTTTTTGAGAGATCATCTAGACTGCAGTCATTCAGGAAATAGCCAGGGCCCATAGGGCTGCTTTACACAGCATAACATAGTGAAATGTAGGAATTCTTGTATTACAATAACAACAAATGACCTTACTTTAATTGTTTAGATTCTTGGGCATGTTTTCCCACCAAAATGCCATGCCATCAGAGATTTAATGAACTAAATTCAAGTGAGTGTGTGTGAGAGAGAGGGGAGGCTGTGGATCCTAATGACATCCCCTGACACTGCAACGGACATAATTACAGGTTTGTGTGTGTGCATGTGTGTGTGTGTGCGTGTGTACGTGCGTGCGTGCGGCTGTGGCACTGAGCAACAAATGTTCTCACCTGCACATCCTGGTGTGTGTACATGTTGGTGTTTGTGTGTGCAAGTGTGTGACAGCAGACTGATGTGATGAGTCTATCGCCGTGGAAACAGCCTGGAGCCAAGTGATTTTGCTGCTGTAGACATCTCTGTTTTCTCCCCTTTGTCTCGTCCACTTTCTCTTTTTTCCCCTTCACTCGTTTCATTTGCTTCACATTTTCGCAACTCATATTTTCTCCTACCAAATCCAAAACATGACGAAAGTGATGTGAGTGAAATCAGTGGTGCAGCTCCATCGAGTTAGTGTCATGTGTTTTTTTTGTAAAAGTTTCGTGAAGCTGCACAGAGCACACGAGGAAAACAGGAAGTCAGGAACAGAAATGACAGACCGCATGCAGACAAAATGTTCCACTCTGTGCAGACTTCACAATTTCTCTCTTTCTCTTATATTTTATATAACCACACTACTGACGGACAAGCGCCTGTTTTATGTGAAGTCTTTAGCAACAATGACGGTAAAACCATCGCGTGTCCGCTTGTTTATTTTCCACATAAACCTTTCACAATAAAGCTCAAGATCCTTTCGAGACGTTTAAAAATAAACTGAATCACATGAAAGAGTATGCAGAGTATTTACGAATGAGAAGCAAAAAATAGCCGCCAGGTGCTAAAAAATAAACCTTAGACTCAAACGTTAGAACAGGCTTTTCCCCACAGCACGCTGTGTAATAAATACTCACAAAGAAAGCGGCGGCCGTTACAACTTATGTCTAAAAATATTCAGTTTCATGCATCAGTTAAACGCTCAACTCCAGGTACACGACACCCAGCTGGAAACACTTCACGCAAGTCGAGCTGCCCGAAATTTACAGAACTTACAGAAAATGTTAAATTTTTGTGATTTATATCGTTATCGGACGATGGATGTATATGATTATATCAGGATATGAGATTTTGGTCTCATCGCACAGCCCTACACACATCATTTTTCATATGAACCCATTCAAATTATAACTGCAATTTTGGTACATGGTAATGTTAAATACCGTGTAGAAATCCAAGTAGTGAGTTTATATACACTGAAAATCTTTATATGAGAGGTTTCCAAATGGAGAGTGCTTTCATTCATAAAAATGTTAAAAAGTTCAATTATAAAAACCACAAAAGAAACAAAGAGGCAAAAGTTCTTCCTCCACAGAAGAATAAGGTTCAGGTTGCTCTGTGTTTGAGGTTTCTGCTAACAGATTTAATCCTGCAGAGACCGAATGAAAAGAGAAAAAACCAACACAGCTGTCAATAAGAGAAAAACGAGCTGAGAGAAATGATAAATTGTCAGACACATCTGTGATATTGACTGGTCTGAGAGAAGGATGGAGGATGGAGGGAAGAGGAAAAAAGGTGGTGCAGACAGTGAGACAGCGTTAGGCACTGGGTTTTTTTTTTTTCTTTATTACAGAAATGAATGTCTTTAAAATATTTAGACAAATGAGTCAATCCTGCTTTATTGTTCTGTGATTCTGGATGCAAAAACTGCTGATGTGTAGGAAGAAAAATAGAAATGCAGTGCTTAAATGTGCTTATCTTAGAGTGGAGAATCGTTCTATGTGTGTGTCTGTCACAGTTAAACATTCAGGAAAATGTGGCAAGGATAAATGGACTGGAAAGTGTGTGCATGTGTGTTTTTCTACCTGTACTGCAGGTGTGAGTCGTTTCCTGGGGAGAAGTGCTTCTCACCTTACTGTGTGTGTGTGTGTGTGTGTGTGTGTGTGTGCTACACTAAACTGCTTTTAACACCATGCAGGTCACAGTACACGGGTATTACACGCAGGCATTGATTAGGACATGCGTGCACACAAACACTAATGCTTATCCTCCACTCAGAGTCAGCAAAGCAAAACACCTGAATTCAGCTGGAGATAAATAATAAATGACTTCTTCATGTTTTTTTGGAATCAAACCAGATGAGACTTCTCAGGTCACAGAGGGGAAAAATGAGCCCTTAATTTTAATCCTCAAACACCAGAGAGGTTCACGAGGAACAGAAGAAAGTCTGAAGAGGTTAAAGCTACAGCATCGTACGAAATGGGTTTCAGCTTGTGATCATGGGACAAAGCAGGGATGCTTCAAGAGACTTTAATTTCCTTGTCAAATACTGCGGGGGTATTTGCTGAAATTTTAATCTGCACACACAAGATTCACATTAGATTGCAGAGTGTGGTCACTGTTCTTTCTTTCCTTGGAGGTCAGCATCCACACGGCCTCGTTGGCTGATTATGGCTGACTTTACATCACAGAGAGATAGCTAGGCTGCTGGGTTTTTTTAGGACAGTTTTCAGAGTTTTGCTCAAAAAGCAGCTGGACGTTCTAGACCATAGGTGTCAAACTCTGGCCCGCGGGCCAAATTTGGCCCGCAGCCTAATTACATTTGGCCCGCAGCCTAATTACATTTGGCCCGCGAAGCCATACCAAATTACTATTAGAGCTGGCCTACTGGTATTATACAGCTAATATATATATTGTTTAGTATT